ATCTTCCTTGTTGGTTGTTCTATTGATTCTTTTTGTGGGCTCCTTTTTTAGCGCCTACGACGAGTCACCAACGTCCAACCTTCATCATCATCAGGTTGATCATCTTCAACTTTGTTGTTCTACAGTAATTCTTCATTTTTTATTCTTTTTAAACTGCATAACTCATCTAGACTGAATGAGCCAAAGGTAATAGAGACTTGGTTCGCGCTTGCTTTCTCATCTTCAAGCACGATCTTCTTTTCATGGGCCAAGTCCATAACTTTGTCCTTGAAGACAAAGCACTTCTCTAGTGGGTGGCTTACAAGTCGGTGATATTTGTAATAATTTGGGTCATTCGTTTTCTTAGCTTCATCTGGTCGCTTCATCTCCGAAAGCTCAATGAGATTTAACTTAAGGAGTTCTTCGAAAATGGATGGCACATCAGAATCCAGGAATGGGTACTCTTTCTCCTGCATTTCTTTTAGAGTCAACTTTCCACTTGGCTTATCTTGAAAAGAAGTGGATTTCATACTCTATTTCTTGCTCACCTTCGTCATGAACTTCATAGGTGACATGTTGTCATTCATAGCTTCTTTGCTTTCAGACTTGAGTACGAACTTGCCCCACTTCCTGACTTCTTGCTGGTCATTCCCTTTGCGAGGTTCATAGATGGGCAGCCTTTCATTTTCAGCGGAGGCCATGCTCAATTCTATGTCATGGGCACGAGTTGCAAGGTTTTCAAATGTGCCAGGTTTGATACCTTGTAAGATGTAGCGCAATCACCAATGCATGCCTTGGATGTATATCTCTATGCCTGAAGTTTCACTAAGCCTGTCTTTGTAGTTGAGGCTTCATTCCTCCAACTATTGATAAAGTCGATAACCAGTTCCCCCTTTCGTTGACGAGTATTTGTAAGTTCTATCATACTTACAGTACGTCTCATGCTATAAAAGCGATTGAGGAACTCTTGCTCTAGTTGACCACAGCTATCGGTAGATCCAGCTTCGAGGTCCGTGTACCAGTCAAAAGCATTTCCTTTTAGCGAGCGGACAAACTGCTTGATGAGGTAATATCCATAAGTCCCAACATTGTTGCACGTCTCCACGAAGTGCGCAACATGTTGCTTTGGATTACCTTTACCATCAAATTGTTGAAACTTTGGAGGTTGATAACCAGCAGGCATCTTCAACATATCGACCCTTGTGGTGTACGACTTTGCATATATAAGGGAGGATTTGGCAGCAACTTCATATTTGTTCTTAATGGTTCCTTCAATGAACTCCTTCAGTTGATCGATTAGAATCATCCCTTCAGATGAGATGGGGATAGCCTTAGTGGATGCTGCTTGTCGTGGGAGAGAGTCATTCTCTAGAACTTTTGGGAGCTTGTCGGGTGCATGGGTGGATTCTTCTTCCATCAAGATTCCCACTATGTCTGTTAGATTGTCAATTCTAGCCTCTTGATTTTGCATGCATTTGGTCAAGCCAGCGATTGCTTCCATCAAGTTTCCCAACTTCTCCTCCATAGATGAAGTGTTTGTCACCATGGCTTGCATGATTATCGTTGACTACGGATAGTAGCATGGATTTTCACACAGATTGATCCTTGATTGGCTCACGCTATGTGGTGTAAGTAGGGAGGATTCATCACTTGAAGCATCATCATCTTCCTTCACAGCAGAGTGCTTGGATCCGGAGAGGTAAAGAAGAGCAAGAGTTTTCTTGATCTTTTCAACAACATCGCTTCCTCCTTCAGATGCGTTTGTGGAAGATCTTGCTCCTTTTGAGGATGAAGATCCGAAAACAAGGGTTGATGCGAATGGCACTTGGGGTGCTTGTTGTCCTAAAGAACTTGCTTTGCTCCTCGTAACTGGTCCGAAGCTTCAAAAGGTAACATCGAGGATGCTTTCCACATCAGCGTAGAACCTGGAGTTAGTAGCCTTGGTGGAAGTTGAACTGGAGCTAATTTTCTTTGAAGTCATTTCAATGTTCTCAGACTTTGGTGATTGAAAACTTGAGATGAGAGGTAGAGATTGCCCCATTGGACATGCTAGAATTTGTAGATAATAAATTGCATCGAGAAAATAAAATCAGGACCGAAAAATATTGCAACAATTGTAGTATTTTATTTCGAATATTTGAGTGTTAAAATTCCTATGAATCCTCTGATTCTTATTTTCAATAGTAAATAAATTCAAGGGCCTTTGAGCTTGATCTTGAATCTATGTTTGTTGCCACGAACGATGATCTTGTTCTTGAGCTTGAGCTTGATTGCTTGAACTTGACTTTGATTTGTTCTTCGTTCTTGAGCTTGAACTTGATTTGTTCTTCGTTCTTGAGCTTGAATTTGATTGCTTGAAACTTGTGGAAGAATTTGCAGCGTTTGATCCATGAGCTCCTTCTTGCTTCTTATTATAACTTCTGGTCCTTTTTTTGAGTTGTGAAGACCCCTATTTATAGTTGTGGGAGGGAAGAGTTATGATAAGAACAAACTCTTTCCGACCAATCAAATTGAAGTGCGACAAGACCGTATTTGATTGGTCAGAACATGTCACTTGAAGAGTAGAAGTCCACTATTGATGGGCATTCAAAGTTTTGCTTTCGAAAATAGGATTTTTTTTGAGTTTGTTAGTTGTTTGGATTGAGTGTTGTTCTAATGTATTGAAAATATCAAAATGAGTTCAAAATTTAAATTTGAAGTGATTTGGAGTAGATTTGAGTTAAACTTTAGAAAAGACGTAAGGAAGAAGACGAAGTCAATTTTTTTGTATAATTATGTATAATCTTGTATAATAGTGTATATGAGTGTATAAACACATCTTATACACTTTTATACACCTTTATGCAACGTCTGTAAATGAACTTCGTCCACAATTTTCAATTGCAATTCTTGTGCAAAACTAGTCCAAATCTCCATTAAATGACTTCAAATTTTATATACAACATCCTTATACTATTCTAACAAGTCTAAATAACACTCACTCCAAATTTCTCACAAAATCAAATTCGAAATTTAAACCCACATGTTTAAGCTTGTTAGAAATTTAATTTTCACCATCCAAATGGATTTGGTTTGTTGAACTAATATTTGAGTCACAGTTACTGATTCGAAAATTAACTTAAAAGCTTGAGGAATCTTTTTTAAAAATTAAATAGTAATTTCTAGAACCTATTGGAGTTGGATGTTGAATCTTAGCCTATTATTTTTTGGGCTAGTTTGTTGTAAATTGAAATATAAGCTATAAAATTGAAAAGTAGGGAGCTCAGTTGTTCTTATATGAAATGTTCCCTATAATTTATCATATTTTTCGTTGGGAAAAATTTTATTAACTTAAAAGACCTCCCTAATCTAAAAGGAGAAATTTAATACTCCTAAATATAAATGGAGTTGAAAGTGAACAAAACTCTCCTTTGTGAATCGCTTAAAATTCAAGAACTAAAAGGAATTGAAAATTAAAGTTTCAAATATTAGGAGAAAATTAAATGACTATTCCTAAATAGTCAAAAATTATTTAAATAATTATTTTTAATATTAGAAAAATAATTAAATGACTATTTTGTATAGTGTGAAAGTTATTTTTAAAGGGTAAAAAGATGAACGACATTTCGCTAAAGGCTTTCGCGCTTTTAATATAGTTATATTATATTATATTCTATTATATTGTATTAATAGATAGATTGTTTCCAAGACAGAAGTAGTATTAATATGTGCTTAATAAAATAAATCGAATCGATGTCACGTATTAATCCAAAAATAAATAAAATCTTTCTGATGTTTATTATTAAAGCAAATGATTAAATCGCTTTTCTTTTACCCATATTTTGTAATAGCATAATAGTCTAAATGATACCTATACTTATGTCACTTTGTTATTCAGGTCCCTGTATCCAATAAAGTTTCATCCAAACATCTGAACTTAGTCAAAACATGTATTTTAAACTCCTCTGACCATTGACTGAGCTTATGTGTTATTCATTTTGCTGAGTCAGAAAAATGAGTGATCACACGCTCTAAAAAGGAGAGTGGATATATTTGTTTTGATTTACAAATATTAAAAATAATAAAGAATAATCATAAAAAAAAAGAGTAAATTAATTAATTTCCCAACCTTTCTGTTCCCCCCGTTTCTCCCCGTCTTCTTCTCCCCCCTCTTTCCTATTGTAACCCCCCAACTCCCCACTCCCACTCCTTTCTGGATAGTTAGGAACAAAATTAATAGTACAAAAAGGAGAAGAATTTTCTTTGAGGAAAGTTAAATAAGCAGATTTATTAATGGGGTTAAAGTTTTTAAAGATACCAAAAAGCTATGGCCAAGTAATTTTCGTGTTCATCAGTCCGTTGTGGTCATGAGTTTTCCAAAGGAGTCCGGTGAGTGAAGAAATAGGTGGTGTAGTCCGCTAGTGATTATTTTCCAACGATCTGATTTTGCTTTGTGGTGGTCAGCAGTGAAATACTTCCAGTAATATAGTTCTTTATTTTCTAGTGATGGTACGCTGCTCGTTGGTTGTTGCCCCTTTTTGCATCTCAGTAAATTCTAAGATTACATTGGTTTTACCTAAAATAGTAAGAGTAAATAGATGAAGCAGGATAAAAATAAAATTATCGAAATTGAAGAGTTTTATGTATATGAATTAGGGTTAAGATTGTGCTCAAAAAGGAGGAAAGAGAGCAAAACGGTGAAGGCAATTCCGTTTTTTTGGTTGTTTTCCATGATAAGGGTCGCCGACAACATAGGAAGATGGGGTGGATTTGAAATATTATTAAAAATTAATTTTTAATAAATAAAAATGTGTCATTGATTTATCTGATGTGGACATGATATTTTGTCCACGTCAGGCGAGTGACCAACACGTAATGCCGAAGTGGTTTAAAATACATGTTTTGATTAAATTCACGTGTTTGGATAAAACTTTATTAGATACAGGGATCAGAATAATAAAGTAATACAAGTATATGTGTCATTTAGACTATTCTATCTTTTGTAATTAAAACAACTTACTCAAACTACGTCCACCTCTAAATTTCCTGTCAAAGAAAAATCGTATGCTATATAAATGAGAAAATCGGTGAATAGGAAATTCAGAGATCCACCGACGAAAATTGGATCTCCTTTCTCTCTCAGTCAACCTCTCAAACCGTACAAATCAAGCAAATCCCCAATTTCCATATAAATCAATTAACCAAATAATCTTCCAATTTCTCTTTGCATTTCCAATTTCTTCACAACAATGGCCGCAGCCGCTTCATCGCCAGCAGTTCTTCCAATTTCCAACCCTCAAACCACCACCACCACCACCACCAACACCCAACAAACCACCACCGGCGTGGGTCCCACACCTGCTCTCCGATCCTTCATCAACCGCATTTCCGAGACTATCCAAGGTGGTCTTTCCAATCGCCGTCCATGGTCTGAACTCGTTGATCGTTCGGCCTTCTCCAAACCCGAATCCGTTTCCGATGCTACCCTCCGCATCCGCAAAAACTATTCCTATTTCCGTACCAATTACCTTTCCCTCATCGCCGTTGTTCTCGCCTTTTCCCTAATCACAAACCCATTTTCCCTTTTTCTTCTCGCCGGTCTCCTTGCTGCTTGGCTTTTCCTCTACCTTTTCCGGCCGTCGGATCCGCCTTTGGTTTTATTTGGTCGGCAGTTTTCTGAACGTGAGACGCTTGGGGCTCTTATTGTTTCTACGGTTGTTGTGATCTTTCTAACCAGTGTTGGATCGGTCCTTGTTTCAGCTTTGATGGTTGGTGTTGCTATTGTGTGTACCCATGCTGCTTTTAGGGCTCCGGAAGATCTTTTCCTTGAGGAGCAAGAGTCTCCGGCCACTGGGTTCCTCTCATTCTTGTCCGGCGCTGCCGCTTCCTCCGCCGCTGGCCCAGCTGTTGCTGCTAGGGTTTGAGGTGCACGACGTCGTATTGGTGTCCAAAGAGATCGATAGCGGTTCTGTTGGGGTAATTTCGTGTTTGTTTTTTAAAGGTATTGGAATTGGAATTTTAGTATAGAAAGGGAACGATCAGTATGAGATGAGAATATATTACGAATAAGATTTTACTTTGATTGTTCTTAATGTTTTTGTTTTAAAAAAAAATTGGAAATGTATAATAGGGGAGATGTGTTGGGGATTTTGTTTCCGTAATTTGTTATACGAAATGATGTTAAATCATTCAGATTAATTCATTTCTTATTGTTTGTTTAGAATACTTGGGAGAATTACATCCTTGTCCCTTGGCCCAACGACCCAATCAAAAAATGGCCCACATTTGAAGAAAATTATTTTCACTAGTTAGCCCACTCTTATTTCTTCGTTCCCCTTTTTTTCTTCGTTCTTCTTCTCCTTCTCATGCCATCATTTGCACTACAAAATTTTTTCTACTATTGTTATTCTCCTTCAATTCTTTACGGGATTCCAATGGTTAACTAATAATTTGAAAAATAATAGTCACCATTACAAGTGGTTCGAAGATTCGATTTCAGAAATTGAATTTTCCGATTTGTTAGTTGTTTGGAATGAGTGCTATCTCAATTGATTGGAATCATCAATATGAGTTCAAAACTTAAATTTCAAGTGATTTGGAGTAGATTTAGGCTATATTTGAGATTTCAGAAATTGAATTTTCCGATTTGTTAGTTGTTTGGAATGAGTGTTATCTCAATTGATTGGAATCATCAATATGAGTTCAAAACTTAAATTTCAAGTGATTTGGAGTAGATTTAGGCTATATTTGAGATTTCAGAAATTGAATTTTCCGATTTGTTAGTTGTTTGGAATGAGTGTTATCTCAATTGATTGGAATCATCAATATGAGTTCAAAACTTAAATTTCAAGTGATTTGGAGTAGATTTAGGCTATATTTGAGTTAAATTTCAGAGTATTTGTGAAGCTACATTAATAGGACTCATTTGTATAATAATGTATATAATATTATATAAATAGTATGTAATAGTGTATAAACATAACTTATACACTATTATATATAAGGTTGATACATTATTTACAGTTATTTGGTAAATTTCTCGCATTTTCTTCATCTTCTTCTTCTCATTCTTCTTATACACCTATATACATCGTGTATCAAGAATATTTCACTCTGTGATTATATATCTTTATACACTTTTATACAACTATATATATAATGTACCTCTTTGTATAAAAGTGTATAACATTGTATAAAAGTGTATGAGCATCGCCAGCGAAATTTTTGTACGATTTTCACTTGCAATTCATGTATAAAACTAGTCCAAATCTCCGGCAAATAACTTCAAACTTTGTATACAACCTACTTAAACTATTTCTAATAAGTTCAAACAATACCCACTCTAAATTTCTCACAAAATCATAATCGAAATTTAACAAAATTAGCATTAAAGGAGATGAGATTAAATATTTATGGGTGAAAAATGAGGAGAAAGTTACAATAGGGACAAGTAGGAATAAATGAGGTTGTTATAATTAGAGGGAATGAGAAAAGAAAAGATGTTATTGATATGAGATTTTTTCATTCCTATACACTATTTGAAATTTTATTACCGTTAATGTCCATGTTTAGCTAATTACCTGGCATAAACAAGTTTTATTTACAAAATATATACAATCTACCTTAAAGGCTCCCAAATTCATTATTTGTGCCTTCAATCAAGGAAATTAGATATATCTTTTTCCTTTTTTCTCTCCTTTTTCCCCTCTTCTCTCAATATTCTCTTTTTCTCCCCTCGTCGGTTCCAAAGCTGCAGCCCAACACTGAGGAAAAGGAAAAACCAAAAGACAGCATCCACAGTCCAATTCCGAAAGACCATTTCTATTTTTCTATGTAGTGAACTAAATAACGCACAAAATAAAATAAGAAAAAAAACCCACCTATTTAATATGTAGGAATTTTTATTTCCTATAACAAATGTTAACACCTTATTTATTTTAAATAAATAGCATTTAAAAAAAGTATATTCTATAGATACCTTTTAAGATTTATAGCAAAATATTTAATTTTGGTTACCTCCTAACCCTAAGTTACTAAATACGCTAATCAGTTACACTATTTTCTTTCTCTCTCTACTTTGATACATCCCATCATCTCCCGTCATCCCATTAAAATTTTCGATCTCCTTGAAATATCCTCAACATATTCACCTATCTTTTTCTCGTTACAGTCTCGAGAGTCAATTTCAAGTTCAATCTCGACTTCAGAAGCATCTGGCATAATATCACATATCATGATTATTTTCGTACAATATTTTTTTGGTACTCTTAATGTGAAAAACATACTGTAAGTAATGATTATGTTATGACGTTGAGGATGGAATTGACTGGGCCAGCAGGGGAAGCAGCCATAGCGAGGCAAGTGTTACTGCTTGAACTGCTACAGATCAAGAAGTTGTCTTGCGGCAATGTATTTCCATGCCCGCAAACATCAGCATTATTGTTGGAATTGTAATGGGGACTGTGCAGCAAGTGTCGAATCCCCCAAGGCTTGTCATTGTCGTTTTCCTTCCCATTCTCCTCCTAAACTCGTTCATCACTGCTGTATAAGCTGGCTCCACTAGCCTCGTGAATATCGTCCCTGCCAATTGAAAAAATTGAGATATGGATGTTGTAGGATGATTTTCTGTTAATATATGTCAATGTATTTTCATGTATTTCATTGTATTCATTGTCTTTTTTTTTTCATTGTAATTCAATGTATCTCGTTGTATTCCATATATTTTATTGTATTCACTGTCTTTTTTTCTCATTATATTTCAATGTATCCCGTTGTATTTATGTATTTCATTGTATTCACTGTTTCGCTATTTATCATGAATGTATTCATAAGTTTTTTTTTATAATTGATATAATAATTTCTCTGCAGATTGCTATATTTTTGGGGTATTTTTCGGTTGAGAATCTTTTTTATAACTGAATATACAAAATTTGTGTGTTATAATTGAGTTTGTTGAGTTATATTAAGAGTCTATTATGTTAATTGATTCATTTTCCCTTTTAAAAATAGTGTAATCTCATATTTCACGCCGTGAATACAGTCAAATACAATAATCTGTCCAGCTGTAATCCCATGTTTCACTCCATGAATACAGTCGAATACAACAACTGATTAGCTGGACTTCCCCGATTCACGCCTATTTTTGCTATATTACAATAGTTTAAATACATCAAATACATCTTATAACCACATAAAAGGTATCTATAATCCGTAATATAGCAAATGATATCTATAAATGACTAATTATTATTAAAAGATAGTGCTTTATGAAAATTTCCCAAAAAAATATCTGGCCTGTTGGGTATAAGAGGTAAGCCACCGCCAAAAAGTCCGAGAGAATCACATCTTAGGCTCCGTTTGTCCATTAAAAAAAATTCTTTTTCTTTTCAATAAAAATTTTCAAAAATATATTTGTTCATGAAATTTTGCAAGTTTTCAAAAAAAAAAATCGAAGATGAGTCTTTTGATTACAACTACAATAACATACAACTTAAATACAAAATTTATATAGTATGTATTTTGTATATTTTGTATCTGATTTATACGTAGTAAAAACAAATTTCATACAATTAATTATATACTATACAACTTATCTACAATTTTCATACATTATTTCTACTCAGTTATATACAACTACAATATCATACAACTAAAATATAATTTTTATACAATATTGTTCAACTTTCATATATATAAACAGAATATAACTTTTTTACAATTTTACTACTCCCTCCGTTCCAATTTATGTGAACCTGTTTGACTGGGCACGGAGTTTAAGAAAAAAATGAAGACTTTTGGAATTTGTGATCCTAAACAAGTCCAAATGGGCCCAGAGTATTTGTGTGGTTATAAAAATTTCTCATTAAGGGTAAAGTTGTAACTTTAAGCTAAATTGTTACCAAATTTAGAAAGGGTTCATTCTTTTTAGAACGGACCAAAAAAGAAATAGGTTCACATAAACTGGAACAGAGGGAGTACAAGTTTGTAAATATAATGTATATCATGTCTTCTTCTTCTTCTTATTCTTCTTATTCTTCTTCTTCTTCTTCTTCTTCTTCTTCTTCTTCTTCTTCTTCTTCTTCTTCTTCTTCTTCTTCTTCTTCTTCTTCTTCTTCTTTCTTCGAGTTTCAATATGAAATTCAGCCAAAATCAAGTTTAATCTTCACCAAAACACCCTCAAAATCGAGATATAAACTTCAAACCATATTTTCAATTGTTTGCAACAACACCCAATCCAAACAAATAATGATTTTTTAAAACCCAAATTCAAATTCAAAGCTTTTTAATGGCTGTCAATGGTGAAATTGCTCCTCTCTTTTTCGTTGCTTTACATTACTGAAATTAGGGATTGGGAGATTGAGAGCGACATAGAGAGAATTTCCAATTCTTTGCAACAACACCCAATTCAAACAAATAATATTTTTTTGGGTGAATTCTCTAAGAAAATACCCAAATCAAATGTAGGAATATTGGCTCCTTTGCCTTTTTAGGGCTGTTCTTTGAAGCTGTTTTCTTTTTCATTAAAAATCAAGCTAAGCACGGACGTTAATGGAGGTGATTTTTTGAAGAAGAGAGTAAAAGTTTAGAATGCTTATGGAAGAAGAGAGGAAATAGGCGTTAATGGAGGGATTCTGAATTTTGTGAAGAGAAAATTATGGGTGAGTGCAAGATACGTAGGGGGAGGGGGGATGTGGAGAGAGAAACGTGGGAGGAGTGGAAGATACGTTAGAGTGATTTTAGGACAGTAATTATTATCATTAATTCCCATAAAATGTACATAAATGGTAATTGGTATATAATATGTAATTATAGTAAAACTTGAGTAGGGAGGGTAATATAATTCTATATAGTGTATAGGAATGTAAAAATCTCTATTGATATTTGGCTATACATTTGCAAACTTATAACTGAGCTAAAATAGTGCAAGGTCAACTTATGAAATGCATTATTCTGTAATTTTGTCTTTTTTTATTTGTAGACATGCCTCGGTTGAGTAACCCGATCTGAAATTGGAGGTCGTAATGAGTATTTTAACATATAATAAAAAATTAAATACGTTTAAATTACGTAATAGTTTAAAAAAATATTTAAAATTATGGTAAAAACAATTTGAGATGTGAAAGGGTAATGGTTCATAGACCATCTTCATAAAAAGCCCTATGTACTGAGCTCTAACTAGGGGTGTAGATAGGTGGGTGGAAGGGATTCAAACCCCTTTCGTTG